AAGGCTGCTATCAAATCCCCCCTCATTCTTCTCTTCTGGAGACTAAACAATCCCAGTTCCCTCAGCCTCTCCTCATAAGTCATGTGCTCCAGCCCCCTAATCATTTTTGTTGCCCTCCGTTGGACTCTTTCCAATTTTTCCACATCCTTCTTGTAGTGTGGGGCCCAAAACTGGACACAGTATTCCAGTATTGTAGCTGTCATGCAGCTGTTACAGGAGGCACTATAGACAGCTGCAGTCCACAGGGCCCTGGGCTGGAACCCGAAGTTGAGGGCGGGCCCGGGTTTCCCCCAAACCTCCCAATTGACCTGGTCTGTGGGTTCTTCCAGAGGGGAAGGTCTCTGGGCTGTTCCCCAACCCACATGGTGAATCTCTGAGGCAAGAAAATCCACCAATAAGCGCAGGATCCACCAAGATAGAGGAGGAACTTTGTCACACCAGGTAGCAGAATTTTCCGACCAAGTTGAGGGGTGTGTTGTCAATTGTGATGATAGGATCATGGTGCTGGCGATACTGGTGGTCTGCTGCTGGCTGTCTTTTTTCAACTGAAGCACTTTGAGGCATAGGCAAAGTGGTCCACAATAAGCTGGATGTCCTCAAGCATGTGTGCAACAAAGACACAGTCATATTAAACCAATGACTATAATAAAATCTCATGTTTCTTGGTCATCTGTAGGGGTCTGAAAGGAATTTATTCCCCTTCAATACACAATTCGCCAAATCCATTCTGGGTTTTTTTTTGCCTTCCTCTGAAGCATCAGGAATTGACCACAGTTGGAGGCAGGACACCGGGCAAGATGGAACAATGCTCTGAAGTGGTACCTGGAATCCTTTGTTCCTAGATGCTTAGCTGTTGAATCTTGCTCATGTGCTCAGGGTCAAACTGATTGCTAGATCTGGGGAAGAAGAAGGCAACTAAAATTGCTGCAGGCTGTGCAAATTGCAGACTGTTGTTTCAGAGACTCAAAGGGAGTTTGAAGGACTATCACTTGTTTCCCAGACTTTAAGGAGCTTGCTTTCATGCTCTACAGAGGGTTTGGACACCATTCTACAGAGACTGAGAGGGGTAAAATTTCCCAGAAAAGAATCCTAGAGGAGTGTATGTATATATGTGCACATAAATATATTTTGCAGTGAGACTTGCAAAAGTAATAAGTAATAAAACTTGGGGAAAAACCCTTAAAAGAGTTGTTGTTGACATTGTTCACAGTTACATCAAGGGTTATAGGTAAACTGTTATGCATTCATAGATAGATAGATATTTAGTTCATAAATTTTCCATTAGAGATTGTATCATTCTCCTTCTATCAGAAATTAAATTCTGTATAAACCCTGAAAAAACTAAGCTTTGCTCTGTACTACAGCAGAAAGATAAGCTGAAGTACTGAACAGGAAAGAAATAAAATACCTGATCTTAGTATGTTGCCTTCCCCAAACTTGTTATACATAAACATTTAAGCTAAGCAAGATATTATTCCATTCAGAAGAAGTCAGTGTTTAAAAGTACATAGACAAATAAAATCCCCAGCACGCTTTATATATGAAGGAGTGAAAGGTACTGAAAAACTGTTAAAGGATGCAGTAGTCCTCGTCGACATCATCTCACATAGGGAATTATCCTTGAGCTGATGCCAGTATGTTTAACAGCTCTGCAGTTCATATACTAGCAATTGCTACTAGTATTCATTTATATATAGGGCCCTACCAAATTCACGGCCATGAAAAATGCGTCATGGACCGTGATCTGGTTTCCCTCATGAAATCTGGCCATTGTAGAGGGGGTCATGGTATTGCCACCCTTACTTCTGCACTACTGCTGGCGGTGGCACTGCCTTCAGAACTGGGCAGCTGGAGAGCGGCGGCTGGGAGCCCAACTCTGAAGGCAGCACTGCCACCAGCAGCAGTACAAAAGCAGGGGTGGCATGATATAGTATTGCCACCCTTACTTCTGTGCTATTGCCTTCAGAGCTGGATGCTGGAGAGTGGTGGCTGCTGGCCGGGCACCCAGCTGTGAAGGCAGCATTGCTATCAGCAGCAGCGCAGAAGTAAGGGTGCCAATACTGTGACCCCCCTACAAAGCCTTGCCAACCCCACCCCCAACCCCTTTTTGGACTGGGACTCCCACGGTTACACCATCATGAAATTTCAGATTTAAATATCTGAAACCAGGAAATCTCATTAAATCCTATGACCGTGAAATTTACCAAAAGGGACCATGAATTTGATATGGCCCAGTGCTTAATTTGTGCCAGGGCTTGCCAGGACTGAGCCCTGTCACCTCTAAGCTTGCCACACAAGTTATGAAAGTAAATAATTGCTTGAGCCCTGGCACCTAATTGCTTGAGCCCCAGCACCTCTTTCATTACAAATTAAGCACTGGTAGGACCCTATTTATATACAGTAACTAGATTTCTTCCTGGTGAGAACTAGCTTCTGGTCTCCAGTCACCTTGCAGCAGTCAGGTGCAATCTGCCTAGGGTTTTCAGTGATGGTCAGCAGTACATGATGTTAACATGAAAATGAGTGTAAGGCAAACCCTCAGCTGGACCAGCGCTGCTCACTCAGCTATGACTCACCCCTCCAGCAGAGCCTGCAATGACTCATCTCTCAGGCATGCTGCAACAGCCTATCCAGGGGCAGGGGCAGATGACCCACAGGCACAGGTAGGGTTACCATTCGTCCGGATTCCCCCGGACATGTCCGGCTTTTTCGAGTTAAAAATAGCGTCCGGGGGGAATTTGTCAATGTCCGGACTTCCCCTCCTCCCCCCCCATACAGAGCGTGCGTGCGGCTTACAAAGCAGCCCGGGCTCCGACAGCCAGAGCCAGAGCCCTTCCGTCACTTTCCCCCTCCTCTCTCCTGAAACTTGACACCACTCCCCTCCTCTCTCTCCCTCCCCCTCCCTCCCTGCATTCTCAGATCACCGGGTTCGCCGTCTGGAGCTCTGACCCTGCTCCCCTCCCCCGCTGTCGAGCGCGCTGCTCTGCAGCACGATATGGGGGCCGGGGGCCAGAGAAGCGGCAGGGAGGTTCTGGGGTAGTCAAGAGACAGGGAGCAAGGGGGAGGGTTGGATGGGTCAGGAGTTCGGGGGGGGGCTGTCTGAGGGTTGGGGGTGTAAGGTTTTGGGCAGTCAGGGTACAGGTGGGGGGGGTCTCAGGAGGGGGCAGTTAGGGGACAAGGCACAGGGAGG